ACCACAATTAAGACTTAAAATTAGAAAGAATGACAGCATGAAACACTGACAAGAATATAGAGCAACTGGAACTCTCAAATATTGTTGATGGGAGTGTAAAATCATACAATCATTTTGGAAAACTGTTTGGGGGTTTCTTAAGTTAAACATACTTAAGACCCAGCAATTTCACTCCTCAGTATTCATCCAGAAGAAATAAAAACACATTTGATACAAAAGTTTGTTGTAAAGGTAGGTAGTAGTTTTATTTTTAATATTGGAAAGTGGAGGGAAAAAACAAATTGTAGTATATTCCTATAATGAACTATTCTTCATAAATAAGAAAGAGCAACCCACCGATAAACACAACACGGACAAATCTCAAAAGCATCACGCTGACTGAAAGAAACCATTCACAAGAGTACACAGTATATGATGTCACTTTTATGATGTTTTGGAATAAAGAAAACTCATTGATAGTGACAGAAATCATATCAGTGGTTGCCCGAGATTGGGAGTGAGAGGAATGGACTGCACAGGTATACAAGAGAACTTCCGGGGTGAGGGAAATAGTCGATAGTTTGATTAGGGTGTTGGTTACACGGGTATATCCATTTATAAAAACTCACTAAATTGTATACTTAAAATGGGAACATTTCATCGTATATAAATTATATTAATGCCTCTATAATGCCAGTTTTAAAGAATACTTAGAAATATGAACTGAAAATCACTGACTTGGTTTTAATTTTAAAATTTTCTCTGTAATCTGATTTATTCTAGTAATCAGCTTCTTGTCTTCAAAAGTAATGCAAAACGTCATTGTAGCTAAGCCTATGTTAGACCCTTACGAATTCCTATATAGAATTAGTTTAATGAATAATTATTTCCTTACAAAGATTTCCAGAATTTACTTTACCTCCATGAATAATTGATTTGCTTCTTAGAGCTACATTAATGCTTAGACATAAATCATACTACATGAGAAATATGCTCATCCATATTTAAATATAAACACATTTGGACTTTTAAAAAATAAGTGCATTTAACCGTACAAAACATTAGATGATCCAATTCCATGAGCTAGCAAAAGGCTAAGTGTTCTCCTTCCACACATGAGACAAAAGCGTTCACTCGCTGTTTTAGTCTGTCACCAGTGCCACATGTGAGGACAGACCACGAAAGGCACAGTGAAATAAGACACAGAAAATTGCTACAGCTTTGTCTCTCGACTCACTCACAGCATTGGCTTTATAGGTTTTCTCCCTTCATCTAGCCACCTGGGAGATCATTCACAGGTTATAAGGGTTATAAGACTAAAAGCTGGAATCTAAAGAATTAAAGAATGCAAATAACCCAGTTAATCTGCTAGTATTTATTACTGCAGAAATAGTTTTAGAGGTAGTTTATTAATGAGGCATTTTTTAAATCATCCCACTCACCATATTATGCAATTCAAAAGCATCATCTTAAAAAGGAAAAGAAAAAAAAGTACTTTTTAGAGTGTAAGGATAACATGTCGAAGTGTTCTTCAAAAAGCTACTTCCAGTGTCCCTCGGCTTCCTATTATGGCAGCATCATCTTATGATGAGGACACCAGCTCACTGACACACAAGGTCAGCATTCATAAACACATCTCAGTGACGGTCATCCGCATGATCACTTGCAAATAAGATGAAGACAGTGACCTCAGTATTAGCCCCGAGGCTTCAACGTCTGAACCACTCAAACCACTCCTAAGGATGAGTGATGTACAGCTTGAAATGTTAGGGAACACACCAGGTAGTGTTAAAGATTCACTTGTTTTCCCTCTGGAATTAGTTCTAATAAAATCTTCTACAGGCTCCAGCAAACATATATTTTTCTCCCCACTTATTCTTCATTATTTTTAGCCTCCAAAGGCTCATATATTGGTCCATCAAAACAAGAATTGGCTTTGAACCAAAATCAAAAAGAAAGGAAGAAAATCCAAAGAGTGTTCTATGATGTCCTGCGATTATTAGCGTGCGGCTTCCACATGAAAGTTGTCGAACTGTGCGAATTCAAAGGAGTGAGTTCCAATAGCAGCCCAGCCATTCTTCGGGAAATTCACAGGGATGTCTGTCCACAGAAACTTGTCATTCAACATACCAGAGGCTAAACGACCCTGGAGTAGAGAGAAACACATCCTTTGAAAACATATGGAAATGACCCTCTGAAGTCTGTTTCTTAATAATATATGGCCCATCTACTTAGTAGAGTAAATCTCCTTCTTACTCAAGACTTACCACAGCAAAACACAATTCTGTTAAGTTTGAGCAGAAGTTTAAAATATAGAAAAGATTTTCTGGGAGGAAATTCTTACCTTCCTATTTAAATAGTCCCCAAGGTACAAGGAATACCTCAATATTTCCTTG